TTATAACATTCACAGCGGAGCCTTGAAAGTTGTATAACCATCAATGTAGTTATTTAAAACGTCTTGATACTTATCATCATTATACCCTACACCACTATAGTGGGAAGGGTATTATGCGTTTGTGCTGATGTTTGTAACGCACTAAAATATTAGTACTATACCCACCTTTAAGTATACCGATCGACTCAGTATCACTTGCTGAGTCGATTTAACGATGTCCGTCCGTCCGACCGTCCGTGTGTCCTTGTAAACGTTGTTATCAAAGTACAGGTCGCAATTTTCAAGATAATTTGATGAAATTTGACACATTTGATGAATTTTGACCCAAGGACGAAGCCTACTGAAAATGGTTAAAATCGGTTCATTATTTCACCTAGCCCCATACAACTGAACCCCCCGAAAAGGGCTTTTGAGCTCATAATTCTATATAATATAAATGTATCTCGATAAAAGTTAGCACAACTAAGTTTTATACAAGCCTTGATAACCTTGCCGAATTTTGAAATGATCGGACTTCATTTGACCCTAGCCCTATACAAAGCCCCCCTTCGGAAAATGACTTGAATATCCGCAATTCACTTATTAACAATGTTATTGCAATGAAATTTATCACAGACAAATATTATATAAATATAAATCTATCTAGCCCATTTTATCGGGATCGGTTCACATTTGCTCCTATCCCCCATATAAAGCCTCTTTCAGAAAATTAGTTTTTCGTCAATAAATTGTTTAAATAAATCGGAATCAAGGTAATATTCAAGATAAATGCTTTATTATGAAAAATAGATCACATAATATTCATAACTGGTGTAGGGTATCATATGGTCGGCTACCGACTATACTTTCTTACTTGTTCAAATTATGCCTTACTTTGACCATACTACAATAAAACAAACTACTACCTTTATATGATCGATAAACTATAAATTTTGTCAAATAATACACCAAAATCAAAAAAATAACCTCAAATTTGCAGTCACCTAGGAAATAGCAAAATTTTTTATACGGGAGGTACCATGCCAACTATAGACGTCCGCCCCTTTGGTCCACAAACGTTCATATGGATATCAAAGTTGTCCATACAAAATTTTAGGGTTCTAGCTGTTGTAATTTCTGAGATATGCGAATTTTAATACTTATTTTGAATGTGGGCGTCGGGCTAATGTCGAAAATGTGTAGAAAACTTATAAAAACCATATTTTTGTTAATTTTTTCCCAAAAAAAAACATCACGTTCACTTTATAGAGGGTTGCGTTGTTCACTCTTTAGAGTCACTAATGTTAAATTTTAGGTGTTCATATTATCCAGGAGTTCATATTATCCAGTGTTTACTCTATACCGACTCGACTATATAGATATTTTATATAAATACCGTTCATCACATATTTGCCAGAGCTTCAATACAAATTCCATTAGAAATCGATTATACCATGTTGAACAAGTTTTACAATATCCAAAACTACAAAGTACATACCACCTTATTATTATTTTGGATTTTAAAGTATGCTTTAAAGCGCAGACATCAAAATTGTCGAAAATATTTTCTGTGGTTCTACTATATAAATTAGTATTAATAATAAAATACCTTATAGAAGGAGGATATTTCAGATTCGTTATAGCCGAATATAGCACTCTAACTTGTTGAGTGTAATAATTAAAAAAACTGAAATTTGTCGAGCCCGTTCGATTCAAAGTTATGCCATATAGTTTTAAAAAGCCGGACTAAACTATATTATCCCGAACGGTCCAGCCTTTTAGAAATACCAGACTTTTTTAAAAACAAGCAAGAGTGCTTGTGCTGTGTCGAATCTTATTAACCCACCATCAAATCATGTGTCTTAAAATTCAAGTGAATTTTGGAAAATGTATAAATAGATGTTTTTGCTACCACAATTTAAACATTTATAGGATTTTTTCTGAACTGATTAATCATATATAAATAGTAATATAGTCATATTTAATAAATTTTTTAATGATTTGATTTCCTGTAAATTTACTTATGGTCAATTTTGGACCGATCCTCCTAAGATTTTACAAAGAATGCCCATGCTTTCTTAGACTTATATGAAGGCTTTGATACAATACGGCCCGATGCTCATAATGTTTGACAGAAAGATTTTAGATCCTATAAAACTAGTTCATGACGAATTTGATCGATATACTGGTATTTTTCAAATATGGGACGATCTAAATAAAATATTGGGGAGATATTTTAGTTCCCAAAAAATTAGTTTAAGTTGAATTTCGTTGCTTAACTATTATTTTGAAGCAAGTTTTAAGAGTTAAAGTAATTTTCTGAAGCCTTATATGGGGGCTAGGGTCAATTATTTGCCGATTTGCAAAAAAAAAAAAAATTAGCAGAAAGATTTATGTTCCTCTAAAACTTGTATGTCGAATTTCTTTGCATTGCTATAATTTTAAAAGCAAGTTATCTTCTATCTATCTATCTATCTATCTATCTATCTATCTATCTATCTATCTATCTATCTATCTATCTATCTATCTATCTATCTATCTATCTATCTATCTATCTATCTATCTATCTATCTATCTATCTATCTATCTATCTATCTATCTATCTATCTATCTATCTATCTATCTACTATCTATCTATCTATCTATCTATCTATCTATCTATCTATCTATCTATCTATCTATCTATCTATCTATCTATCTATCTATCTATCTATCTATCTATCTATCTATCTATCTATCTATCTATCTATCTATCTATCTATCTATCTATCTATCTATCTATCTATCTATCTATCTATCTATCTATCTATCTATCTATCTATCTATCTATCTATCTATCTATCTATCTATCTATCTATCTATCTATCTATCTATCTATCTATCTATCTATCTATCTATCTATCTATCTATCTATCTATCTATCTATCTATCTATCTATCTATCTATCTATCTATCTATCTATCTATCTATCTATCTATCTATCTATCTATCTCTATCTATCTATCTATCTATCTATCTATCTATCTATCTATCTATCTATCTATCTCTATCTATCTATCTATCTATCTATCTATCTATCTATCTATCTATCTATCTATCTATCTATCTATCTATCTATCTATCTATCTATCTATCTATCTATCTATCTATCTATCTATCTATCTATCTACTATCTATCTATCTATCTATCTATCTATCTATCTATCTATCTATCTATCTATCTATCTATCTATCTATCTATCTATCTACTTCTATCTATCTATCTATCTATCTATCTATCTATCTATCTATCTATCTATCTATCTATCTATCTATCTATCTATCTATCTATCTATCTATCTATCTATCTATCTATCTATCTATCTATCTATCTATCTATCTATCTATCTATCTATCTATCTATCTATCTATCTAGCTATCTATCTATCTATCTATCTATCTATCTATCTATCTATCTATCTATCTATCTATCTATCTATCTATCTATCTATCTATCTATCTATCTATCTATCTATCTATCTATCTATCTATCTATCTATCTATCTATCTATCTATCTATCTATCTATCTATCTATCTATCTATCTATCTATCTATCTATCTATCTATCTATCTATCTATCTATCTATCTATCTATCTATCTATCTATCTATCTATCTATCTATCTATCTATCTATCTATCTATCTATCTACTATCTAATCTATCTATCTATCTATCTATCTATCTATCTATCTATCTATCTATCTATCTATCTATCTATCTATCTATCTATCTATCTATCTATCTATCTATCTAGCTATTCTATCTATCTATCTATCTATCTATCTATCTATCTATCTATCTATCTATCTATCTATCTATCTATCTATCTATCTATCTATCTATCTATCTATCTATCTATCTATCTATCTATCTATCTATCTATCTACTATCTATCTATCTATCTATCTATCTATCTATCTATCTATCTATCTATCTATCTATCTATCTATCTATCTATCTATCTATCTATCTATCTATCTATCTATCTATCTATCTATCTATCTATCTATCTATCTATCTCTATCTATCTATCTATCTATCTATCTATCTATCTATCTATCTATCTATCTATCTATCTATCTATCTATCTATCTATCTATCTATCTATCTATCTATCTATCTATCTATCTATCATCTATCTATCTATCTATCTATCTATCTAGCTATCTATCTATCTATCTATCTATCTATCTATCTATCTATCTATCTATCTATCTATCTATCTATCTATCTATCTATCTATCTATCTATCTATCTATCTATCTATCTATCTATCTATCTATCTATCTATCTATCTATCTATCTATCTATCTATCTATCTATCTATCTATCTATCTATCTATCTATCTATCTATCTATCTATCTATCTATCTATCTATCTATCTATCCTATCTATCAATCTATCTATCTATCTATCTATCTATCAAATCTAATCATCATCTATCTATCTATCTATCTTAGAAGTATACAGTAAAATTCATTTTGCAATTCATGTGAATATTTGGTAATAAATTAACAGATTAGCATATGACCCCCCTTTTAAATACATTGACCTCCCTGTGAACATGACAAATTCTGACATCCAATTGAATATGGTGGTGATAAAATGGGGGAGCTTGACACCTCCCATAAACACAAAAATATGAATCTGGCAAACTATTAGATTATTCAAATTATTCATAGTTTGCATTAAAATCAAAATTGACGTTTCGAAAAATTGGCGAACTTGCAATAGTTGGCGAACTTGCATTAAAATCAAAATTGACATTTCGAAAAATTGGCGAACTTGCAATAGTTGACGTCGCATACATATGAAGTAAATACAAAAAATCTTATATCTGTGAAACTATTACAGCTAGAATGTTCAAAAATCGTAAAGTGGGTTTATTATTTACATCGATTTTAGGGTAGCAAAGCACACTGGGTATAGCTAGTTTAATATAAATATTACAGTTTAGCAAAGAAAAAAAAATTCCAATATATTTTTTAACAACAATAATATTTTTTGACGCAAATTAAAAACAAAAAAAAAATAATCTAAAATCTTTATCCATAGTGACCACCACGTCTATAACCGCCACCACGTCCATATCCACCACGACGTCCATAAGCGCGAGCTAAACGATCACCAACATTTTCATGACCATGGCCAAGATCATCGACATCCAAAAGCGATTGTTGTTGTTCCTTAAAAGGTTTTACGGTAATGGCCGAAACGGCAACAATGGCCACCAGCAAAAAACACAATACAAAACGCATTTGCAACATTTTAATTTAATTATTTTATTTGTTTTATAAAAAACTTAATTTGCTGCAATAGAACTGAAATGCTGAATTAGAAGATTTAAACTGTTAGAATCACTTTGATATTTTCATGATTTTATATTAAAATCTAATTTGAATAAGAGTGTTGACTGAAAACGATTCTAAATTGCACTACACAATAAACTCAGGCGCCGATAATATAAGATAAATTATAAAAATTTTTATACCAATAATTTCTAAAGAATATTCTGGTTATATTCAGGTTTTCAACAAATTTGCCATTTAAAACAACAAAACACCATAAAGATGAACCAGTCTTTAGTTCTATTGTTCATCATGATTGATTTGACAATTAATTGGTCTACTATTAAATGCGTTTTTTTTTTATTGAATTAAATTAAAAATAGAAATCACATATTGAATGCAAATAATAAATTGTATACCCTACATGCACATCTTTTATTTGCAGGGTACACTTATTGGTGTAGAACTTCTTGGGCGTTATTGATATTGTTTGTTATTGTTGTACTTGACAACCTGTATCAATTGACGTTTTTGGGTACTTTTTTTGCTTGTTTCATTACAAAATTATTTCAAAATAAATAAACTGTTGTTTACAAACAAATTGCATAAAAATTAACAATAATTAATTAAAAACTGTTATTTTTTATTGAAAGCATTCAAGTTTTAATGATCATGACAATGCGATCTTAATGATATAATACTTTGATTTGGGACAATCAATATTGTGGCTAAAGTAAATTTTGGAAATTTCAATAATAAAAATTGTTTTGAATATAAATAGATACAAAACAGAATAAATTTACTTAGTAAATCATTAATTAGATTCGATAAACATTTTTCTAATATATGCATTTGTATCATTACCGATCATATTTGAATTTTGAAAGGGACTAAGGATTTAACCTCATATATTGATGGTATGACATCTAAAATTCATATTGAATTAAAAATGAAGATTTAATATCTGTTATGTCTTATTCCCACTTAGAGATATCTTAACCTAAAGTTTGATACAATTCTACAAAAATCGATTTTACCTTTTCTCAAACTTTAGGTCGAAAACGTAAAAAGTCAGATTCGTATTCATTGTTGGTATGAAATTTCCATTATTTATATCGTTTGTTCTATGTTAATAATAGATTTATGAAACTGATATTCTATAAGGGCTTAGATCAATTGTAAGTCAAACTTTATATAATCAAATGAGACATTGATTGACGATTTAGAATAGTCCATCCATTTTTCCGTTATCACAATTGTATGATTATTCTTTTTTAAGCATGGATACACAAATAATTCTAAAGAGAGCCTACATTTAACTTAAAAAATATATCCTTGTAAAGTGACAGAAAAGAGCTATTTCAAAGTTTGCTACAACTTCAAGATACTGACAGTCAGAATCCAAATTAAATAGAGAACAATCTGCAAGATAAACAGGTAAGTTTCTGCCCAAATAGAATCAATGTATATAGATCAGGTCAATACTCAACTCTTTAATAGAGATATCAATAGAATAACGTTCTACTACTCATTGACTTCAGGATATCCTTGAATGAAATATGAAAAGCATGGAGTAGGATAAGATGTCAAAGTGCTTTATGTGAACACCTGCAGTGTCGTCCTTATTTCATGGTGGTACTTTTTCAGCCACTGTGTGAGCTGACTAGATGACTCACCACCGTCCCTTTTTGTATCTTATACGCTGGTGTCTAATTTTGTACATAGCTCTGCCGGTACAGCACTTTGCGCAAATACTCGAGCTATCTAATCTCTGAACATTGCTGCTTCGTTGCTTAACTTTCATGATGCAAAACATCACTTCCGATTACAATCACGCAGATGGGATGGACCCTATGGAGTCGGCAACAGCCCCTAGAGACGTATTTGGTAGACCGAAACCCGAATCCATCAAACTTGCCGAGGGCTTTGTTCTTACTCTTAGAGAATACATTGTGGTAAATCTGGTATGAACAGAATAAACCCTGAACATACCTGGACAAGGAAGGAAAATTCACTTGTATAATATACCTTTCATACATCACCATTTAACCCAGTACACTTCTCATTCATTCGAGACACCCATAGAGAACAACATCAGAAACACTCACTATATGCGGGAGAAGACCCGTATACCCCTACCTTCATACAACGCTTAGACCCACAGCCACATCTGTTGACTTCCTTCCCGCGAATCTTCGGTTTAAAACACAGCCACCATTTGCACCCCGAAGGAACCTCTCCAATAACCGGGACAAGATAAAGTCCGAAATTCCGCCTTGCGGGCTAACGATTCCCGTAATACCAGATTATGTAGTTCTCTGGTTCGACCCCATGTCAAATAATTCCAAAGAAAGGCCGAGGATACATTTGATCATCAAAAGTTTATAGTCCCGGCAGACTAAAGGTACTGGTACCACCTCTTTTCACCGGGATTGTAATAACACCAAGATGGGGTCTTTCATCAAGAATTATGATTTTAAATTCAACTAAAATGATTTGATTTGCAATATTTACAAATCAGTCTATAAAATTTTCTAAAAACCGTTCCATAATTGACACATCCGCCACATGAAAATCAGCCCGATATCCATAAATGTAAAAAATAGCGAATCCTTTCATTAATACCAATGATACATACTATGTACGATATACACACATATGTACATATATGAAAGTCTGTCTTTCGATATGAACTTTCAAGTTTATACATAGCCGAATATTACACTCTAACTTATTAAGTGAAAAGGCGTAGTTTTTGTTAATTAAAATACCTGCGCAGTTTAATTTATTACCTATTTAACATTTATACGTTGTAAATCACAATTAGACATAATAAACAAATTTGTTGAATATATTCATTAGAAAAGGAAACGTTTTTCAGAATAACAATTTTTTTGTTATAAGAATTTCCCCTAAACATTTACATCATGCACTTCGAGAAGGGCGTTATTTTTGTATAATTTATTAAGTTAAACATCATCTTATTTCACCCTTCACAATAGTGTAGACAATCTAGCCATGTCCACCCATCTCTATGTTGAAATTACGATTGGAATTTGAGGATTTTTGGGGAAATGTTTTTGAATTTATTATAATTCCGAACAAAACATTCCATTTTTCTAATTAATGGTAAAGTGTTTCGCAGTCAAACACTTTACCAGTAATTGGAGTCCAAGAATAATAAAATTGGAAAAGTAGTTTAGAAAATATACGATATAAAACTTTATGCGTTCAATAATCTGGCGGACTTCTTTGGAAAAAAGGTGTAAATCCAATAAGGAGACTATGTATAATCGGAATATTAGAGCAAATATATGTAGGAATCCATCGCTACAGGGAAGGCTCTAAATAGGGGACCAAAGCGGGCCAGAAGCTCTATATTGAAGGTTCAGAAATAAAAATATACCACCCTTTACCTAATCACAACACTAGCTTCCAAGCAGAAGTTCAAGCAGTAATAGAATGCGTCAATTGGTTTATGCTAAATATGGCGCCAACAGGGATTAATATATTTACCGATAGCCAGATGTCAATTAGAGTAATATCAGGTGATAAAATTAAGTCCGTATTGATTTTAAGAAAGCTCAAACCGAATACTATTCTAGAGGCAACATGGGAGTAATCGGCAACGAAAGAGCAAATGTAATAGTATTAAAGGAAAGGGAGCTCGAGGTAGTTAATATGAGGATCGCAAAACCATTTGACTCAACAAGACTGAATAAAAGATATGGGTGTGAGAATCCCATAAGAACTGTTGCAATAATCAAAAGGTGTCTAGAACCAGAAAGAACGTATGGGGTAACCGCAACGATAGTAGGACCAGAAGCTTCTTCAAAATGTGCAAATCTGAAGTTAATGTGACGGTTCGTATTCTGAGGGATACAGGATTACGGGTACAGCTATACAAAATTGGACGTGCGGATTCAGACGAATGTAGAGCATGTTGAGAGAACAGTGTAACTGTGAACCATTTTGCCATTGTCAGGATTTCATCGAAATTGGAGTTATTCCGGATATAAAATCCCTCACGGACGCTGATTGTAAAATTCTTAGGAATTACGTCCAGGAAACATGAGCGTACAACAGGCGATAATACATGAGCGCACAACAGGCCCGATAGTGGCCTAGGTGTATTTCTTCGGATTTGATGTAGTGTACATCAATCTATCCTAAATAGCATGCGTTTGAATAATCATATATCTATTTTAAATATGAACATAAGAGGTATTTTCGGAATAGATCTGTTTGGTTTTTTGTTTTATGTTAATACAATTTTGAACGATTTATTGACAAATCTGATATAGGTCAATTACGGATCGATCCTCATGAAATTTAGTACTAAGATTATAAGAATTTTTTGTAGGCCTTTTTGATGTCAAACGTGAACTTAAAGTAATTTTCTGAAGCTTTTATGGATATTAAGTGTGACCCATAAAACTAAATTGTGTAAAATTGTATCACAATTGCTCCATACTTAATATACTTACGGCTGTTAACTGTATTCCGGGGTTCACTTGTATAGAGTGAAATCAAAGTCCGATAATGTCAATTTAAAAACAAGTTAGAGTGTTATATTCGGCTATGCGAATCTTATGTACCCACCATCAAAGCATGTGTTGTAAAGAAGCATGGAAAGACTTTATATAAGAATCAATAATGAACTGATCCTGGTAAGGAGAATTTGATTTCTATAAATTTCGTCGCTATACTTGTATTTTTAAGTCTTAAAGTCGTTTTCGAAAGGGGACATAATATGGGGGGGAGGAATGTTCAATTCTGAACCGATCCTCATGAAATTTGTTACAGATATTTCGATTATTACAAAACTGTCTGTCGAATTTTGTAATGTTATTTTTAAGACAATTATGTATGTTAAAGTCATTTTCTGTAGGGGAACTTACATGGGAGATAGGGTCAATTATGGAACAGTTCTCATAAAATTTGGTAGAGATTTTGGATATTACAAAACTTATTTATATATAATTTTATAGCTATAATGTTGTTTTTAACACAGTAATGAGGATTAAAATCATTTTCTGGAGGGGATCAAATTTTCCAAATTTATCATTAAAACTTTGTTAC